TTTTCTCTTTCAAACTGACCAGCCTGGAGTTAAAAACACAGCACCCAGGGGCATGGCATTCATGAGCAATCTTATCAATTGTCGCTTTTCTGAAGTCTTTGCTCACATACATGATCCACGCCTAAATGGCCATGCATAACTCGGTACTTGCTGGGAGACAAGCAATTGTCTGGCAGACAGGCCAGGTCTCAAATGAAGCAGTTAACTATCAATGTCGGGTAAAGTCCTGCTGCTAAAACAGCTTTCATGCTCAGACCAGCCCCACCCTCAATGTTATACACTGGAACTGTACAAACAGGAGGCTGTAGCTTCACAGAACACCACAGGCAACAGGACCTCGGAAGATCACCTGAGGAGGAAAGCATGGAAGATCCACAGGTCCAGACCCAGGCAGGACTGGACTTTATGCTGCCTTTGAACAGCTCACAACACAGAGCAGAGGCCATAACTAAAAACACAGGGAGGGTGTCGTTTCCCTCCTGGGGTCTTCTTTCCTACAATCAGCCTACAAAACCCAGACAGCAGTGTCACCAGCAGTCTCATTTGGCATCCCAGTCCACAACCCTAACACTGTGATTTTAAGAAGACATGAGCAAAGACAATTGGAAAGCAATTCGTTACTGCATTTCAGCTTCACGGCCGAGAGGGGCAAGGGCCATTGCTGCTGGCTAAGACAGCTGTGCCCCAGCAGGAGAGGGGGTGGCTGTGGGCTCCAAGGACATTCAGTCTTGGTTTCAAGATTGCTTGCTGGGAACTGGGAGAGAATGCTCACATATGTCCAACTTCCAGTGGAGGGAGGTGAATCCTATTCTGTCACCATTTCATCAGCCCTGGCTCGAAAGATGGCCAGCGGACTGCCTCCTTGCCATTTACAAGAGAAAAGGACAAGGCGAGAGGATGAACAAGCACGGAGTGGTCAGTGGCTAAGACAGAAAGTGGCACTAGGACAGGAAGGAGCCAAACAGCAGTATCTATAATAGAAGACAGGCTGCACTTCTGAGAACACTCAGAACATGTATATCAACCGCCCTTGCAATTGCTCACACCTCTTCTCTAGCCCTACCAAGTGCAATGGTGAGTTGTACTTATTAGCACTCACCATGTGCCACCGGGTAACACAGCGTTGTATGCACACATGTATGGTCAGACATACAAATCTATAGTTCTCACAAAAACTACAGATAGGCATACAAACAGAAAGACACCGAGATACATGCGCACACACTATAATGTACATTATATTGGTAAACCTGCAATGTGCTGTTTGAGCTCACTGAAAAGCTGCCTGGGAAGTAGGGTTACTCTCTACTTCAGACCCAAGAAAGTGTGTCTCGAAGTGTGTTCTACAAGATGGCCTGTCTGTGGATGGTCTCCCTGGCCCCAGCTCAGTGACAGGGAAAAGAACAGGAAAATAGTGCAAAAGCATAAACATTATGCCCTTTAGAAGGTGAAGTATGAGCTGAGGATGTAGCTCTGAGCAGGAATGCTTGCCTAGGATATGCAAAGACCCAGCTACTAGCTATTTATTCTTTTATTTGATTTGCTATATACTAAAAATTCACTCATTTAAAACCAAAAACAGAGCTATCCTGAAGCATTCTCCAGATTATACAGAACACACACACACACACACACACACACACACACACACACACACTATATGCACACTAGTTTCCCTAACTACCCCCATAGTTCTGTGTTGGTTATGGACCTGCTACACAGCAAAGTTAAGCAAACTGCCAGGGGCTCCAGCATCATAACCCCTTTTCCAGAGGCTTTCTGGTTTGTCAACACCCCTCCTAAATATGCATGCAGAAGTAACTAACTACTCTGTCCAGAAAGGGTCTGGCAGGCCTAGGAACCAGCAGAGCCTCAGTACCCTCAGGAGGTTGTAATGGATGAGCCCTGACATAAAACGTCTAGACCTCAGGGCTCTTTGCCCTCTTTTGTCATCTGGCTCTTAGATCTCATCCTGACTAAGTTCTTTTTCTACAGGTAGGTCAGAGAGCACTGGCTCCCATCAGCTGCATAAAGGCCAAAGGGAAGCCACACAAGCTCACATAGCCTCAGGGTCTCCTCTGGGCCCCAGTGGGTCCCTCAGGGGAGTTGGTTTATCAGAACACCAGCTGTTCCAAAGGTCTAACCAAAAAGGCACTTTGTGCCTTTATCTAAAGTGGTCATACACCTGGTCCCAGAAGCCATGTTCAAAGAGGTTCCTTCACAAGAATGCACAACTGGGGTGAATCTACTAACCAAGATCGAAGACCTATGAAACAGTTTGGGAAGCAGCTCAAGGAAGAAAGGACTGCACCAATCGAAGGCCAAGCCTATCCTACAGCCATGGAAAACCATCTACAAGTTCTTCCTCCGCAGACACGCAGACCTTGTACTCTTCTCAGCTACAAATGTCCAGAGAAGCCACAGCAAGCAGAGGTTGCAGCATGCAGAGGTTGCTGTCCCACCACAACCATTCATTAGCAATGTGTGGGTCTCTGTAGACCAATGACATACCTGCCTGTTGGGAACCCAGGCCTGGGACCCTATAGTGTCCTGACTGAGTCCAGGACTCTTTTTAAAAAATGTGTATGAATGTTTTGCCTGGATGTATGCATGTGTATCACATGCATGCCTGGTGCCCCTGAAGGCCAGAGGAGGGCATCAGACTCCTTGGAAATGGATTATGGGCAATTTTGAGCCACCATGTGGGTACAAGAGCCAAACCTACGTCCTCTTCAAGAACAGCAAATGCACTTAGCCACTGAGCCATCTCTCCAGGCCCCCAAGCGAAGACTCTTTACAAACATAAGGACTGTCTCAGGCCTGGATATCAGGCCCCTTGGCAAGTAAGGACCACCTCCTGAGACCATATATTATTACATGGGGAGCCAAAGCAGTAAGAACCACAGAGCACCATGGAAAGGCAGTTGGCAGAGAGAGATGCTTGCTGGGACACCATACTCAGGGTCTGACCTCTGGCGATAAGGTGCACAGTCTTTCCAAGGGACTTTCTCCTTTCCCTGTACCTTGTCCAACCCCGTACTCATGGCCAAGCAGCCAGCCAACGCAGACAGGCTGAACCAGGGTGGCCTTCTCAGGCTCCAGGGCACCTTCCTGGATCTTGGAGGCCTGCCTGGAACTGATGAGGCAATCTATACATTTGGGCACAACCCCACCGAGCAATATATTTTTAAACAGTTTGTATACACGTAAGGCCAGATAATGTCTTCAGTGACGCAATGGTGTTATTCCAGCTTGTGGCTAGTGAAATCTAGTAACATGTGTAAGCTGTTTTTACTACCTCTCTAGCTTATTCACTAGTAAAACAGGCTTGGCATTACAAAGTTAACTGAGGCTGTGTGTTGAACCCAGACCCTAGGGCTCTGCATTTCCTTCAGAAGTCATCCAGTGCTGTCCTCCTTTAACCTATTTTAGCCTATCAGGAGAGAGAAACTTCCTCTCAGTATCCAACACACACATGTTCAGTTACTGTCCAGTGAGTAAGTTAGAAAGATCTACCACACAGGAAGAAGGAAGGAGGGAGGAGGGAGGAGGAGAGAAAGGAGGAGGAGAGAAAGGAGGAAGGAGGAAGGGCCTCTGTTGGAACCAAGGTGGAAGTCGTGGAAGCTGGACATGGAAGGGGGCAGGAGCTCTGTCCCAAGTTAACCCATGGGCATAAGTATGGCACAAGCACATCACCAACATGTCCCCAGTTGTCCTGGGTGGGACCTGGGCTCATCTGTAAAAGTGGCTCAAAATTGTGGTCTCTGAGGTCACCTCAGATAGATACCTGTACCTTGTCTTCTGTGGGGGAACTGACAGGCTTGGAAAATAAAAGGAACAGAAGGTAAATTCATGAATTTGTAAGTAGGTGGCTCCAGGGCAGGGAGTCAGTGTGGGGAACCTAAGATTGCTTGTTGGTTATACCTGTCTGATGCAAAAGAGACACCATGAGCCTGCCTGCATTGGGTCTGCCCATGGTCTGAAGAACACGGCCAACCCTGCTGAGACCACTCCCTTACAGCAAACAGAACATCATTTCCTCATCCCAAGCAATAACCAATGTTTTTATACAGAACACCAAAAACTGATATAATACAGCACTGAGAAAGAGGCTTCCTAAATGAGCATGGAGCCAACAGTACCACGTTTTGCCCACCACAGTCATCCATCCTAGAGTTAATGGTCACAAGGACCAACGTCACACCATAGGCCTCACCATCTTGATCGCATCTTAAGACCTCCAGAGCAAGAACCAAATGCAGCCAACCCTCAGGTTCTGACCCTGTCCTGATGACGGTGTCTAATTCCAAGACTGTGTCATTCAGATCAATAGCCAAGAGAAGTGTTGGCATGATGCCAGACTCCAAGACAAAGAGGACAAAGACAGAGGGACCGGAGTGCATGGGAGAGGCTCCTCCTACAACCAGTGCTAGGGACAGTTGGTGGAGGTGGCACAAAGGGTACTGAAAACAATTCCTTGGTACTCTAAATGTGGGACAGTTTAATCAAAGAGACTGATCGCTTCCCACCTTTCCTAAAGTCATTACTCATGGCCCTGGTCTAGGGATCAGTATAATCCTGGTGGTACTGAACACTAGTGTGTGGGTTCCAGGAGAGGAAGTACCAGCAAAGGGCTAGAAGAGGATTAATTAGTGTTTGGTCACCCTGGACTGCTAGCCAATGCCTGCTTCTCGCCATCTGTCTGCTCCTGTTCCACTAGCAATGAGCTTAACAGGAAAAGAACATGCCTCATTTTAAATCAAAAGACCCAGATACTTAAAAAAAAAAAAAAAAAGACAGGAAAAGAACTTGGAGGTTTTTTTTTTGTTTGTTTGTTTGTTTTTGTTTTGTTTTTCAATAGTGCTATTAAAACAAGGGAACTGACTCTTAAACGTTTCTGAAAGTATCACTGTGCACGTAAACTGGCTGGACCAGGACCAGAAGTCCCAGGGAACAGTGAGGTGCTTTTGGAGACTCTTCTAGGCCATTGGGGCACTTACCTGTGCCATCTTGGCAAGGTCTAGAGAAGGCCTTTGCTCTTGCACTTCGTCAGGACGCCGCCGTTTCACACCAATCTTCTTGTCATTAAGGACACATGGCTGGGAGCGGCTGCGGGCAAGCCCACTGGAACGTCTTGCCAGCTCTGGCGTTGAGGCAGGTGTGCTGTTGGCTGAGGGTGGACAGTATTCTGGGAAGGAAAACTGCTCATGTGAGCAAGAGAGGGACCGCTGCAGGTCCAGCCGGCCCCCTCCCACAGGGTGTGGGTCGGGGCTCCAGGCATCGCCCACCTGTCCACAGGGGGCTGAACCTGGTGATTCTTGGCAGGGCTGTCCCCCAAAGCGCTGGTGGCAGGGTGAGGAGAGCCCATTGGCCCGAGCAGGGAGGCTGAAGCTGGAGCTCCGCTGCATGGGGCTGACACCATTGGAGTAGCGCTGGACGCTGCCCCCACTGTAGCATCGTCTCTTCTCCACAGGAGTCCAGACTTTGGACCCCAAGGGCCGCCATGACGTCCGGCAGCTGGACATCTCATCAGAGAAGGATAGTGACCGGCACTGGCGTTTGCTGGGGGGAGCTGAAGGGTTCCCGTTGTGGTCACTGATGCTGAGGTCTTTGATTAGGCTGGTCACTGCACAGGCGGTCACCGCCTCCGGGTGCCACAGGGAGCTACCCTGACACTTTTCAGGCAGACACTCCCAGATGCTGGCACTTGGTTGGTCAATCTGAAGAGGGCATTTTCTGTCCAGGTCTCTCCATCTGTCATTTTCTGGTGCATGAATACAAAGAGAAAACAGGATCTGAGAGGCCTTCACAACACCCTCCGTTCCTTTACCAACAACAGCCTGTTTGCTATATAGTTCTTTGGCACCAAAAGGGTCCTCATAAATCAGACTGTTCAACCTTACTGAATAGATGAAAACTGAGGCCCAGAGGGGTGAGGCCCAACACGCTGAGTTGGAAGTCCTTGGAACCAGACTCATCGCCTGGAGTTCCTGATCCAGCTTTCCTCCCAACATCCCAGGATGGTGGCTTGTCCTGAGCCCCGCCCTGGTTGGTGGCAGAGGCAAGGGAGCAATGTAAGTTAGATTACGGTAGAAGACCACGAGCAACACTGAGTCTCGGCCACTTCAGCTGGTCAAAGTCAGAATGGGGCTGGCATGCGGCTAGTTTAGCTCATCTGAATTCCACCATCAAAACATCAGCTCATAAGACACAGAATCTTTTATCAACTTGTTTGCCTTCCACCAAAATGTCCAACAATAGCAGCATTGACACCAGCTGCCAATCACAGCACTTTCTTCATATCTATTTGATTTCTTGCTGAAATTGAGGATATGTAAAGCAGGTGAAATGGATGGATAAGAGTACTAAAGACGCACGCCTTTAGTCCCAGAACTCAGGAGGCAGAAGCAGGTGGATCTCTATGAGTTCGAGGTCAGCCTGGTCTACAGAGTGAGTTCTAGGGACAGCCAGGACTACACAGAGAAACCTTGTCTCAGAGAACCAAACCAAACCAAAAACAAACAAACAAAGGCCATTCAACTCCATTTGAATGCATGAATCCATGGGCTGGCCCAATTGTTGAGAGCCACCGGATCTGAACTTGAACTTTAATTTCAGTAAAATCTTAAGAACAAATTATTGTTTTCCCACTATAGAATCAGGAACCATGCTGGGAATTTTAGGAGATGCAAAGATCAATCTGGCAAAGTTCTTGTTCTTAGATTTACAACACAAAAGCAAAGACTAGAAGCACAAGCTGTCAGGAGTTAGCCCTGCCGATCTCTGATAATCTGCATGCAAGTGTATGTACTGGGTGGCAAATGTGACGGCTTAAGTCAGGCAGCCAGCGGAACTGAAAAGAAGCTGGAAATGGCACACAGTAGGTATGTGTGTACATGCCCCCACTGATCCACAGCAATTCAGACCACTCATTGATTGAGCATCCTTCTTGGGCCATGACATCCACACAGCACCCTGCATGAAGGATCACCCTGACCCAGGGCAAGTAATACAGCTATATGACACAGTGAAAACTCAGACTAGTCTGACATTGACCCTGCCTCAAGAAGCTTGCGGTGCAGGAAGATGTACTGCACCTATCCCTAGTGATGCATACTCCAAGTAGCAAGAGCTGTGAACAGAGCTCTCCAGCATCACTCTTGTTTTATTTCTCCCAGGAAGGGTGCTACTCTGTAACCTAGGGCCCTGAGCCTGTGGCAAACCTCCTGCCTAAGCTTCCCAAGTGATGGAATTAGATATGAACCACCATGGCCACACCAGGCTTACAGTGCTCATTTCTCTCAATGGCCACTGAGATGACACCCGGGACTGAATGTCACCCAAACAGCACCTAAATCACTAGGTCAGAGGATAAGCAAAGCAGCACAAGAGAGTGTCCAGGAGCCAAAGGAAGCTAAACCAAGGCTAGATATAAAGTTTCTTCTTTCCAGACACTCCGCTAAGTCATCTGACAGGTGACCCAAGGGGCTGCAGCCCGGGCGAAGGACGCAAGACTGCCCAGGGCTATAAACACCCAGAGTCTCAGGAGCTACAGAGACAGAAAAAAAGGTTGACTGGAAGTTTAGCTGGACAGCTGGGAATGAAGCAGGACTGTGGCTGAACATCCAAAGACCTCAACTCACAATCTTCTTGATCCTGAGGGAGGCAGCTCTGATACCTATTCCTCTAGGTGAATCTCTAGATTCCTCTAGATGAATTACTTTCAAATATAAACCACACACACACACACACACACACACACACACACACACACACACACACACACACACGGTTCTTTGCAGCATGACAGTAGTGGTGCAGGCAGATCTCTGTGAGTTCGAGGCCAGCCTGGTCTACAGAGCAAGTTCTAGGACAATCTCCAAAACTACAGAAAAGCCCTATCACGGGGGGGGGGGAGGGGGAAACAATAACAAAAGAGCCCCTTTGCAAGCTGCTGCTTATATTGTTCAAGTATGTCTTCAGTACTACTCGTGGAAAACATTTCCTTCCAGTATTCCATTCCTTCTGGGTGTTCTCCCCTTCCCCAAGTGTGGTATGTGTATGGTAAGTGTGTGGTGTTTTTGTATGTATGTGGTGTGTGTTTGTGGTGAATGTGTGTATGGTGTGTGTTTCTGTGTGTGGGTGTTTGTATGGTGTGTGTGAATGTGTGTATGTGTAGTGTGTCTGTATATTGTGTTTGTGTGATGTGTGTGTTTGTGTGGTGTGTGTGCTTGTGTAGTGTGTGTATTTCTGTATAGTGTGTATACACATGTGTTGTGGTGTGTGTGTGCATGTGTGTCTGTATGGTGTGTCTATATGGTGTGTGTATGTGTGTAAATCAGAGTAGGTCAAACTCAGGTATTAGTCTTCCCATCTCTCTTGCTCACTGATGAGTATGTCAAACTAGCTAGTCAGTGACCTTCCAGAGATTCCCTTTCCCCTTCTCCTCCTAGGGACCACTAGGACCACAGATCTCTTCTGTGTCTGTCTTTTCCAAAGGTTCTTGGATCTGAATTTAGGCCATCAGGCTTGCACAGTTGAGTACTGTACCCACTGACCCATCTCTACCACTCCTTGAAAACAGTTTTAATTTGACATTAGTTCAGTAAACCAAAACAACCAAAATTCAAAACAGAGAAAATATAAACTAAACTGGGCATGGTAATACAAGTCCAGCTTAGTCCCAAGAAGTTGAGACAGGAGGATCACTTTGAACAAAAGGTTAGCCTCAGTTATAGATGAGAAGAAATACAATTAACATGACTGAGCTTGTGACTGCCTATTAAGGATAATAGTAATTAATCCTAAGAAAAAGTGGAAATCAAATCAAAATGATAACAAATGACAGCAAATTGGTAAGTATAATTAAAATGTCCTATAGCAGGTGGCTGGTCAGACAGATTGTAAGGGAATAACACACTGCATGTAACAGTGCTATTTCAAGGACCAGTTAATGGTGTGGGGGAAATGCCAGTGATAAGTTGCTAAAGAAGCCATGTATAAAGCCCCATGAATCTCATTTAGTAAAACACATAGTAAAATACACATGAAATAAAAAGGGACAGACCAAAATGGCTGATTGTCAGGTGGCTAGTTAATTTATGCTGTCTCAGTTTTGTTTTTCTTGTCTGTACATTTCCTCTGAGAAACTGTGTTAACAAGCATGTGAGCCTACAGGGCTGTACTCCACAAGTTTACAGGGCTGTGCTCCTCCAGCCTTCGGGGCTGTGCTCTGCCTTCCCTCTGGAAAGGAGCCACTCTAGAACTAGGGCCCAAACCTCATCTTCCTCTGGGTTCTCTCCTTGGGGTTTTCAGGAAGTTGCTGGAACCAACTTCCCTTTGAGGCCAAGACACTGAAAACACCACAAGACTCAGGGGTGTGACAGGTTGAGGAAGGAACCAGCGGGCAGTGGAAGACCACAATGGTACCACGGCAGGTGCTCGGGAGCCTGGGACACAGGATGGGATGAGTCTCAGTCAAATGCAGAGAAAAGCATCGATTTAGAAGGGACTGATCCCATCTATGAGGGGATTTCACTTGCTTTGCATTCTGCTGGCCTACCAGCTCCGAAGTACAACCCAGGGTGGCTCTCTGGGGGTCCTGCACAGAGTATGGTACACGGCAGACCTGACAGGGTGGGAGGACATGAAGGAGAAGAGGTGACAAATGAGGACAACAAATATGGGAGGGGCAGTAGGTGTTTACTTGTTACTTCTTGTCATGGTCCCTAACACAAGCAGGTTCAATCTGGTTATGCCACAAAGCCTCGCCCCTACCATGAGCCATGGACTGGCTACATATGAAACAGGCAGGCAGTTAGGCAGAGTCAAGTGGAGGCTACTTCGAAAAAGGAGAGTACCGCTAGTGTGTATCAATAGCAGCCATGCAGCCACTTGGCCTGTATGCGGCACGAATTCTAACGGTTTCTAGCTTCATCGCTTTGAAAAGTACAATACAAAAAAGTAAAAACAATCGATGCTAAGTTTAGCTCTTGTATTTCCACCCTTCACTCAGGGTCCAGAAAGCAATTTGTTGGGTCAGGTCACCACACAAAAGAACAGGAATAGAAGCTGATTTTTAATGGCAAACTGCCCTATGTGTAAAGCTCCATCACACAGAGCACAAAGGGCTCTGAGAAGATGATAGCGGGTGCCCCCACTCTGCCATTCAATATCACTTCTACATAAACAACTGGAACTCGTTCTAAAGTGACAAAGGCCATGGATATGGAAGGGCCGCTGAGCAATGGTCACCTGATATGGTTAGAAAGGGCATGGTCCTCTGTTTGAATCTCAGTTCTGCACACTTCTTAATCTCTCTCAGCTGCTGAGAGAAGACACAGGCCCAGCAACACGCCCAGAGCAACCTCTCAGACGTGGCAGCCATCAATGTAATTCTGAACGGACGGCACCAAAAAACATGTTTGTGTTTGAGATGTGCTCTTCTGCACCTGGCTGAAAAAGGAACCAGTATTTTCTGTACTAGGGCTTTCTGGGACATGGTTCCAGGATGGCCTGCTGGGCGATGAAGGGTGGGGGTAGAACTGGGAGATGGGGAGCAGAGATGAAGAATTCTGGTTGCTACATATTTGATTTGGTGGGGTTTGATTTGCTTTGGCTTTGGGCAATCAGAGGATGGCAAACCTACAGAAAAGAATCTCTTTGCTTTTCAAGTCCTTAGAAAGCCACGTTTCACAGGCCAGGTGGGAAATCCCAGGGCTTCCACCCCAAATGGCACATAGCCTACATTACACCGACTTTCAG